ATCTGAAAGTACACATACATATGGACCAACGAGGGCCAATCTGACCCTTTGCTTCTTCTTGTTCTTCTTGTTGTTGTTGTTGTTCCTCTTCTTCTTCTTCTTCTTCTTCTATGGCGCAACAGCCCGATGTCGGGCCTTGGCCTCCGTTACCAAGCCTCTCCATTCCTCTCTGCCCTGCGCTGCTCTCTTCCGGTTCCTTACACCCATTCACTTCTTCGCATCTTCTTCCACCGCATCAATCCATCGAGTTCTTGGTTTCCCAGCGCGTCTCCTGCCGCCTGTTGTACTGTATAATATTTTCTTTGGGAAAGCTCCTTGTCCATTCTCTGCACATGCCTAGCCCATTGCAATCTTTTTAGCTTTATCGTCACTGAGATCTCTGGCTCCTTATATAATTTGTATAACTCTTTATTATACCTTATTCTCCATATCCCATTCTCTTTTATTGGTCCATAAATTCGTCTTAGGATTTTCCTCTCGAATGAATTGATGACTGATTCCTCTTTCTTGTTTAGCGTCCAACCCTCACATCCATTATAAAGCACCGGTCTTATCATTGTTTTATATATTTTTGTTTTAATCGCTCGGTGTATATCCTTTGATATAAAAGGTGATAGTAACGAGAAATGTGCATTATTCGCTAGTTTTATTCTTCTTGTTATTTCATGATTTTCTTCTCCATCTTTGTGGAATTTCGATCCTAAATATATGAAGTCTTCAACTATTTCTATCCCGTCCCCTTCCATGTTAATTTCTCCAGTTTGCTTTGGATTCCTTCTGGACTCTATCAGCATTTTAGTTTTATTTACATTCACCTCTAAGCCAGTTGTTTTTGCTATGGTTTTTATTTCTTGATATGTCTCCTTCATTGCTCCTAGGGATCTCGATACTTTAATAATATCACCCACATACGCCATTATTTGCGTTTGTTTATACGCTATTGTGTTCCTTNTATATTAAATTCCCAGCATTTCTCCGTTATTTGTCTCAGGGTGAATAAATTGTCTATTGTTGACCTACTGGGACGAAATCCTGATTGATATTCTCCTATTATTTTTTCTATATATGGATCCAGTCTCTTTTTTAGTATCCTTGTTAAATTGTATATGCTGTCGGTAGTAATGATGTACCTCTATAGTTACTGCATGTTAATTTATCCCCTTTTTAAAATTTGGGACATATACTGCTCTTTCCCCAATCTTCTGGTATCTTTTCTTCTTCCCACACTTTATTTATAATTCTGTGGAGTGCTATTGTTCCTTCTTGTCCTCCTGCCTTCAATAATTCTGCTGGTATGTTGTCTCCTCCTGGTGCTTTATTTAGTTTTTGTTCCTTTACTGCTTCTTCCACTTCTTCCTTTGTTGGGGGCTCTATTATCTCTTCCTCTTCCCCTTCTCCATCGTCTGCATTTTCTTCTTCATTATCCTCGTTATGTTCCATATTTTGATTTTGATTCAATAATTGTTCAAAATATTCTTTCTAAATATTCACAACTCTGTTTTATTATTTATTAGAAGCCCTTTTTTTTCTCGGATAAATGCTGTTTTGGGTTTGAAACCTTTTTTCATAGATTGATTCGACCATAGGCATTTTTCGTTTTGTTATTTTTGAAGCCTTCTTCCATTTTCAGTAACTGCTCATTTAGAAAGGCCCGTTTCTTTTTCCTGAAAATCTTGTCTGCTTTCCTTCTTGCTTCTTTATACGCCTCATTTCTTGCTCTTGTTGGTCTTTCCATATATTTCTTATTCTTGAGGTTTATACTCTCCCTACATTCCTCGTCGAACCATTCTCTATTATCCTGTTTCTCTTGATATCCCAGAGTCCTCTCGGCTTCTGTAATTATTGCCGTTTTAAAATCTGCCCATATCCCTTCAACCGTTACTTCTTTATTTGCTATATTGTCATTAATTTCTTTAATTTTATTTTGAAATGCTTCTCTCTTATCACTCTCCGTAATCTTGTCAATATTAAATTTCTTACATTTCTGATACTGCTTGGATCTTTGACAACTTATTTTACATCTGTATTTGACCTGTACTAAGTAATGATCACTATCACAGTTGGCCCCTCTTAATGTTCTTACGTCCAGGATATTCGTCGCAAATCGCTTCCCTATGAGGACATGATCTATTTGATTGAAGGTTACCCCATCCGGTGCTGCCCATGTCCTTTTATGTATATTTTTGTGCGGGAAGTATGTAGAGCTGATGATCAAGTTCTTACTTTATGTAAAACTATTAATTTTATTCCATTATGGTTGGTTATATCATGTAAACTTTCTGTCCCAATTTTTTTTTCCTTTGGCGCTACAGCCCTCATTTTGGCCTAGGCCTACCTCCATGAAACTCTCTGTTTCACTTCGGTTTACTAGATCTTACACATACGGTAGGACTCCTTGGGCGAGTGATCAGCTCGTCGCAAGGCTTCTACGTGTAGACAAACACAGAAAAACGCACACAAACATCCATGCCCTGAGTGGGATTCGAACCCACGATCTCGGCTTCCGAGCGAGCGAAGACAGTGCATGCCTTAGACCGCTCGGCTACCGTGACCGGCTCTGTCCCAAATACTCTTCTGTATTCCTTCTCTTTACCTATTTTGGCGTTAGGATCCCCTAAAATAACCTTTATGTCATTACTTGGTATTGAATCATATGTCTCTTCCATTTGCTGATAGAAATAGTCTTTGCCCTCCTCTTCTTTTTCTTCTGTAGGTGCGTGCACGTTCATCAACGTCATATTGGAAAATCTTGTTCTAATTCTCAAAGTGCACATTCTTTCACTTATTGGTTTAAAGACTATTATTGCTCTTTTAAATTCTCGTTCTATTACAAAGGCTACACCACATTCCTTATTGCCTTCTGCTTTACCACTGGAAAATACAGTGTGTCTCTTTAAGTCCATGATAATGTCCTGTATGGCTGTGATTTTCATATTGTACGTACTTATCTATCTGTTCTAGTACCGATTTCATGGCACCCGGTTTATTGAGGGTTTTCACATTCCATGTACCTAGAGAGTAGTCCATATTCTTTGCCAGTTGTCGTCTTCCATTCTGTTGAGGTTTCCGAGGCTTGATTCCAGGTTTCGAGACATTTTGTATATTTTTTTACGGTGAGAGGTCGTCAGTCTCTCGCCCAACCCCCAACCTGGAGGACCAGGGTATCTCTTTTAGTCTGGGTCATCCCCTTCGGCCTGTCCGGCATGGGTGGCTCTACCAGTAGATATGCTAACCCCGACAGCTCTCAGGGTCATTTGACCACGCAAGCCCTTCCACTACGTCAAAGTAGAGACACCATCGGGGGGCTGACCCTTTGCTGCAATATTTAAATTATCTGTAATTTGACCTAACAACCAAGTATAGATATGGGGCTTCTCCATGTTATTCTGTTTTGGGTTTATGTACTCTCCCTGTTTTTAATTTTCTCTTATAATCCACGTTATACACCGAGAACGATGGCTAAGTTTGTAACGTTAAGACTTGTTCTCGGGAGGTTAAGTTTTCGAATTTCAGGTGGGACGCTGATTATCCGGAATTTCTTTTGGGTCGCTGTGTCACTCGAGACAAATTCCAGGATGATATCCGAATTAGGACACGACGGCATCCTTCCATATCCTTTACTCATTTATTAACTATCACAACATTCAGTGCTATATTTGCTGGGTTATTCACTGCACCATTAAATAAACTGCAGACAAATGAATAATTCATATAAACTAGTACCAAGTGCGCTGAACGCAGTAAGGAAGATGTTATTACGTTATACAGTAACGCCTAAATATGTGGTTATATACTTGTTTCTCCACATTTTATCTTTCAAGTTTTTTTTATTGCTAGTGGGGTGGAACTAAGTCCCTTGTACTGCGGCCAATTCTGGGCTATTGTACCAGCCCCAGATGATAGGTGAGGGTGATTGTGGGGCAGTTGGTGGAATGAAGATTGGCAGGGGAAACCGAAGTACTCGGAGAAATCCTCGGGATCGAACCCGGACCGCCGCGGTGGGAAGCCAGCGACTAACCGCTTGAGCTATGGCGCGGCCATTATCTTTGATGTTAGTGGGAGGTATTCGATGGAATTCGGTACTGAGAACCCTCACCGAAAGTTGTTTGAATTGAAATTTGGTTTGAACAACGTCTACTCTAGATAAATCCATGTCTGATTTCATCGAAACTTTGAGGAACTTTTATTTCAGCAATTTTGTGCATGACGAGTATTTAACGAACTGCAGTAAAGCAACATCGCCTGCTAAGCGACAAGCATTGCCACGTTATACTTATGCAAGCAATAAATTATGACGACAGAGTGAAGCTGAAATGATGGCTAATATCGAATCTGGGGAGCGTGAGCTCCGTCTGAACTCTCTCTTCTCCTCCCATTTTCGCTCTCATTATGGGAGAATCAGCATCGCGTTTTTATCGGTTTTGGAATGCAGAGCGTGTAAAACAATATCACACTCAAAGTATCATATAAAGCACAAACGGTGATCAAGTGACATTTCACCCAGTCAACTGATATTACGGTTCACATATTTTAGATCTGTTGCTCATCGCACGCACCCACGTTCATCTGTTAGAGCGATTTGAAACACATAAAATAACGAATTTTGTTCCTAAGAAGAAGCAGAAATAGGCTTTACTTGGATCTCAGTAGATAGGAACTAAGCCTTTATGAACTGCATTCAAAATTAGAAATTAAAATGAACTCATGTAATAAAAAGAATTCGGGAAGCAGGACTCGAATTCCCCCCCCCACCCCAGATAATGTATGACAGTATTTCCGAAATTCTTTAATAGTGATGGTTGCAGTACAAATTGAGGAAAGTGCAATTTAAATTTCATAATATCTCTTGAGAGCTGAACTATGGATGTGGGGGTCTTGTTGGAAAGTGAATGAAACGGCTCTCCCTCGGTGCAGATACGCAATCTCTGCTCCAATACAAGACTTCATGGCGCGGTGCTTAAACATTTCAATTGCTGATAGTTCTGTTTCCCTCATTTCAGATGCAATCCTTGGCTGCACCGTCAGGATTCCAACTCTGAAGCCACGTGAGCAGTAACGGTGTGTGCTGTATGGTGTCGACAGTAAGGTACGAGGGACACATTAATATATTTCTGAAAATTCTCTATCTCGATAAATTGATTCCTCAATTAATAATACTGTTCCATACTAATATTGTCATGTGTATGAGTGATTATAGACGGGATTTGAATTGGTACCTGGATTTATTGCCCACTTAAGTTCGTGACTACTAGCAACATAGCGCTATCTGTAATTCACACACTCAGCAGTCCACTACAACACGCACTAAGTCTTCTCAATCTGCTGTATCTTCACCGGTTGTCGCCTGGTAACGGCTTCCAACGCCATAGCTTCCTCAACTTCCGTGTTCACTTCCTTACACAATGGCTCGATAAGGACCGTATAGAGAAGACCGCTTCCAACATTTCTGTTGTTACTTCTCGCAGCTATCGCATGGGCCGCATAGAGAACACTTCCCAGTTAGTGCCTGTTAGGAACCTGTTGCCTAGTAACGGGCGTTGTTTACATTATCATTACTTAGCAACGGGTGTACGTACTACAATGTGTTATATATCTTTAAATGGCGGTATTGCTCCGATTGTTGTGTTGGAAAAAGTAGAACACCATTTTAAGATACGGATGAGTCGCCTTGAAGATAGGGACGTTAAGGGTCCCCGTAACGTGGAGAATACAGCCCTCTTCTAGACAGTGCTGCCGTGTTCAAACAGGATCTGCAGTATATAAGTTGAGGAAAACCATGACACAGTTCGAATCCAGGCTGTCTGTAATACTGTGATGTATAGACCCATTGCTAATCAGTGACTCTGTAAACAGCGCTCGTTGCTAGGTAACACCCGCAACAGAAAAAGAATGGTGTTTTCTATGTGGTCCGCTTGACGCCAAGACGAACTGATTGGCGGTAATCCGTCAGTCGTAAAGTAACTTTGACTTTAACGTTGACAATTCAGTTGAACTCTGACAAACGACAGAGCCGTCCTATCGTCAGAGAGGGCACCCCATATGAGCAGGATAGCAACTGTCAAATAGGAACTAATATCTGGTCACGAGCAGACTGACTGACTGACTGACTGACTGACTATCAGTCGCAATGTGATTTCGACTTGGACTTTGTGTTGAGTTGAGAGTTGAAGCGTGGAGTGTTCATGAGCGGGCAACGGCGTGACCACGGAAACTGAAGAATCTCCGTTGTTAAGATTCGTTACCAGGAAACGTCTAGTGAAACTATTGCAGAGGAATAACCAGTGTTGAGAGCTGTTACCGAGTAACGACTAGTGAAAGTAGACTGAGAAGACAAGCGTAGAGTGATTTGTAGTGTTGAAATCAGCAATAGTGTTGAAGTTGTTTGTAGCTAGGCCTGTAAGTGGTCAGTGAATGTATCCACCAATCCACACCCCGTGTATAGTCACCCTTAAGCGTGACAATACGAAGCAGAAATACTAAGGACTTAACCACAACACTTAGTAGCTCGCTGTCTCATATGGATCCCCCCCCCGGTGAAGTTACGCGATCAAGCTACAGAGAAAATATCTTGGTGAGGAAAAGGGACAGTTTTGGATACGTAAGCATATGTGGAAGGATGGATCTGAAAGACGTCGGGCATGTGGACATGGACCGCATTCGTGTTGCTCAGTGTACTGACCGTGGCAGTTGCTTGCGAACACCAATCACATATGTAAACACGTGGTTGCATAACTAAGCACGTAAGGAGAAACGTAGTGGAAGAAACTAGTCCTTGTCCACGTGGGCATGCTCAGCACTCTAGAGCCCCATTAATGACAGTCACGGAAGAAACGACAACAGAAGGAGATCTTCAAATAAAAATGGGATCTGCGGTGAACAAAACACCTTTCTTTATGATGTGTATGTGACATTCCAAACGTGACATGAAGCTGAGAAAATGTAAAACGAATTTGAACAGTGAAGATTAATATTATATTTCATCTTAAGAAATGTCAGTTTTAGTCTAATGTTTATTAACAGTGCATAATAAGAATATAATAACTTTTAAAACTAAGAGTGTGCAATGAACGACAATACCAGACATCTGTTTAAGTAAAATTTATCCATGAAACATAAAATTTCATGATCAATCTTCCAAGAATATATTAACGCATGAATATTGACGAAACTCTATAATGCATAGCGTCAAACTACCCGATAACGGCCTTTACAGTAGGTTGAAACGCAGCTGAACAGCAGTACGCAAAGGAAGAGAGAAACTTCTTATATTGTTACTTTCGCAAAGTAAAATTTCAAATTCCATCAATAATTTCAAATTTATTACCATATGAGTGACTATTATCTTTTAATGAAGGGCTCATCAAAATGAATTTAATTAGCTATATTTTTTAAATGTGACATTTATTTCAAAATGTTTTTAACTTACCGATTTCTATCAGCCGGAGGGCCGTGCGTGTTGCAGATCTGTGAAGATGGTTCAGTTCAAATAAAAATAATAAAAAGAGCTGGAAGAAGTGAGGTTCGTGACGTCATCAGCTATCGGTTTAATACACGTAAAAACTTGTCATCCATCTTGTTTGTGTGTCAGCATAGAGATAAGGGCCGCTTGTGGACGGAGCGGCGGCGCGGGTCTGACGTCGGTTCTTACAGCGCCGTGTCCACACAGGGGATTACGGCTCACATTGCTTTCCTTCATACCGGGCAGATTATCATTATATCCGACATGATAGATGAATTGAAACAGAGTTTTTTTTTTAAAGATAGTGGGTTTCATTACAGGTTATTCCAGCGTCCGATCGGTTTAAGGTGCACACGAGCCTTAGCAACTAAAGAGAAGTGCTGAATCAATAGATTTCCACTTCCTGTTCCTATTTTCTTCATGGTATGACGGACCGAGTTGTGAAAAAGAGAACACTCCTTGTTTTACGAAACAGCATTTTCTTTGAAAAGAGCCGTATGATTAGCGTTTAAATTATTTCATCTACCCGTACGATTACTTTAACTGCATATTGTGGACTTCTGGATTATGATAAAATACACTCTGGGAAATGGGTACAAACTTTTCGGGGTGCCATACTTCTTCCATCTTCAGAATAATAATCAACTAAGGTGGATGTGAGTTGTTCCATGGTAATTCTGGTACACAGTTACTTTTCTGCACGCTCTTATAATTCAGAGGTCCATTCGCGTATGTGTCCTGTAACGCGCAGGAGTGTTGCTGGTATATTGATGATGCCTCCCTTGCTTTCAGGATAGAGTTTCTTATTAGTTGGTCGGCCGCGCCATAGCTCAAGCGGTTAGTCGCTGGCTTCCCACCGCGGCGGCCCGGCTTCGATCCCGGGTCTCGTCAAGTGGGATTTGTGGTAGACAAAGTGGCGCTGGGGCGGGTTTTCTCCGAGTACTTCGGTTTCCCCTGCCAATCTTCATTCCACCAAATTCTCCCATCATCATAATCAGGCTACAATAGCCCAATCAGTGGCCGCCGTGCCGAGTGGACCCAGTTGGACTCCACACCCCACTAAGCGAATTAAAAAGAAATTAATTCTTATTAGTTACTTTCAGTTCTAGGCAAAGTTCGTACTGTTGAGAAGGCCTGACGCTACTGGTGTGAATGCATTTTTCAGAAATACACTTCATATTAGTCGCTCTCTTTACAGACTTTCCCCCTTTTCTCTATTCTAATTTATACCGAACGGCCGCTTCTTCCTGCGCTGCTCCTAGTAAATGCTCCAGAATAAGAATAGGAAGCTCTATACTTGATTTTACACAGTCACTCCGAATGCGTTTCTTGCTCTGTGACATTCATTTGATGCTCATTTATTAAAAATAGACAAAAATCGTTACAACATTAAATCAACTATAGATATAAGAATTTGTAACCATAAATTATTTCTTTTGGATTACCTTAAATAATGCACCGAAAAATTATTAAAATGGAATGTACTTATCTTAATGAGTTAGATGTTTAATGTCGTGTTAAAAACTTTGTCGATTATCAGCTTTTAAAAATGTTTAATGAAAACAAGGGGTTCTGTTGCACCAACAGGGATCGCTATGAACTCAAATGACAACTTTTATTGCAGACGACAAACTCCAAAATTATATAAATTACATCAAGTAGTTTTGGAGACGAATCATGGAAGAAAGTGTTCAGAGAGATGAGGCTGTCTAATTACACATTCATTCTACTCACTTGATTCAAAGTACATATACTAAAGTGTTTATGCACTGAAGTTTAAGTTTACTGGAAACTTCAGCTCTTTGCCAATTATAAACCAACTAACTGAATCACTGAGTAAATTCGCTTAGTGGGGGGTGGAGTCCAACTGGGTCCACTTGGCACGGCGTCCACTAATTGGCCTATTGTAGCCTGCCTCGGGTGATTATGATGATGGAGAATTTGGTGGAATGAAGATTGGCAGGGGAAACCGAAGTACTCGGAGAAAACCCGCCCCAGCGCCACTTTGTCCACCACAAATCCCACTTGACCAGCCCCGGGATCGACCCCGGGCCGCCGCGATGGGAAGCCAGCTACTAACCGCTTGAGCTATGGCGCGGCCGATTGACTGAGTAACTCAGCAGGGTAGAATTATGTCATGAGAAGGCAATATTCACTCACCTACTCATGAATTTCTGTCTTTTATGGTACCCAAATATTAATTACGCACAATCCAAAATGGTTAAAATAAAAGGAATTTGTGTAATGGCTTGACGAGGTATATAACTGTCATCTTTTACTGGATTTATCGCTAATATGTGATTATTCATTGAGCTATAATTGTTATCTCTAATACTACGAATAATGGAATATTATTTGATGGAGGTCATTATTTTCGCTGCGCTGTTTAGATGAAGATGAGCATAAACTTAGCATGAAATGTATCAGTTTTCTTAAAGATTAGGAAACAATAGAGCCCAATATATTTCGGCCTGAATTGGCCATCATCAGGGTGAATCAGTACTTAAGGAAACTTTTGCCGCATCATCACTTCTACCCATATAGGCCACTACAGAGATATTGCAAGAACATTTCACAGAAGGTTTAGAGCATGTCATACAAAGCACAACTTTCGGTATTACATTGAC